AAAAATTTCTATTTTTATAAATTTTATTTTTTTATGTCAATAGAAATATTTGTATAAAATAGAGGGAGTATACCTTTTACAGAAGGGATCGCAAGTGCCCGAGTTTTTGCTACGCGTCTGCAGGTTTCTGGCCTCCTTGACGAGAACATGGAGCGCACCGCGGCTCCAGTTCTTTTTCGCTTTAGAACTGCCACGTTCTGCGCCATTTTCTCGATCACGTTCTTGCTGTGCCGGATCCGGCGGAACAAATTTCAGGCCGACGATTACTTCGCCCTTGTATGCGACTGGATCATCGAACGGCTCCGTCTGTGAATTATTATCACGTGAGACAATCCGCACATTCCTTGTTTTTGAAGTTATGTAAATAAGAGCTTCAAAGAATTTGAAGATTAGAATCTAGAATTTCGTTCTTGAAACTAATTCTCTAAATTTGTATTGTCGAAAGGAAGATTCTAAATATCTATCAAACTTTAAAATGGGCGAAAGATGCGAAATTTGAAATGAAATTAATATAAATTCTATTTAATATATAAATTCTAAAAGGATGAATAAATATTCTTTAATATAAATTCTTTATTTAATTTGCTAACTTATTTTTAAATATTTCATAATATACGAAGGAAAAATATATTAATCTTGATATCTCGACTTGGTTCATAGTTAAAAGAATTGAAACAAATTAATACCTTATGATACTATGTTTACGGTACATACTTATTTAAGATAGAAAAACATATTTTGCATTCACATGCGCTCATATCGGAACACATTGAAAGCATTTTAATTAAGCAACTTTGAAGTTGCAACCTATGTTTCTATCCTAGACAAACAAAATTTTTTACTGAATACACAGTGACGCAATTTGCTAAATGCACAATGACGCAATCCATCGGATGCATAATAACATTCAAGAGATTTGCTTCACTCGGAAGTGATCAATGACTAGACTTCTAACTTTAAAATTTTAAGATAACGCTTCTAAATTTTTCAACAGAAACTCGATGTCATCATTTTCGCTGATACATTTGAATATCATAGTTACAATCAATAATTACGACCGGCGGCGAAACTTACCCTCTCTTGAAGGGGATACCAATGGGGCGTCGGATCGTCAAATATCTTGTTTTCCAGGGGCATTCGCACCTCACCAAGGAAATCATTGCGGCCAAACATGTCCGAATGCCAAACTGTCAGCCATAGTGTTCTCGTCTCCAGGCCACTCAGGCTCATATGGAACTAAAACCGCGCGATGACGAAACATCGAATCACTAATTGTCATGCAAACGAGCAGCGGACATCCGTGCCAGCTCACAATGAACACCTTACCTTTAGCGTTTCGTTGAATTCTGGATTTAACGTGTGCTTCTTCACTTTTGTCTTTCTTTTACCGCTCTTCGATTTATCCGGCAGCAAATATACTTTGACGTATCTAAGATAAGGAAAAAGGAATATATGAAATTATAAAAACTCAGATTGCATATTTAATTTCAGTGTCTCTTATAAACAAAAATAAAGATTTTTTTATATCGGAAAATATAATAAGTTGAAAATAGAATTAAATTAAATGCTTTAAGAGAATGCGTTCAAAGGATAACAAACTTTATCTTACTTAACTTTTTGTTTTACTACTGCGCTTTACATACATTAAATATAAAAATTGAAGTACATTGAAGAACACGCATATATATATATATATATACACACACACACACATATATAATATAATAGTCGTAAATGGGCATACTTACGGATCCGACCGTTTGCGCTTTACATCCACGGGCGCGAGATTTTTGCACCTGGTCACATGCACTTCGAACGTCAGATTCTTGTAATCGTATTGCAAGGCGAATTCTACCTCACCTGTGACGACCACGGATCGACAGCAACGTCCCTCGCCCGCGCCGCTGTATACCGACGCCATCGAGTCCGAGCGTGCCTGGAATCGCGAGAATTAGGATCGTGAGGATTTTAGAACGGCGACCTCAGCGTCGTAAAGTTCGCTTCGTTCTCTGGCGAGAGCACCTGTCTCCCATTCCGTTAATCTGAGCGATGCGAGAGATGCAACGCTGCAAGTTCGCTTCGCGTTAAATTGCGATAAGTACGATATTTCTCTCGAAAGTTGGGCAATAGTTTTTGAGCGAGACGTGCTGCAATCTGAGGTCCATCCTCTATGTGCATTAAGCAAGAAGGAAATTTTAACAAATTGCAACTTACTCCGAGACTCGACAGTGACGAGCGAGTGGCGAGATGGCCCGGATCGATGTCGTCCATGTCTAGGACTGTGTGACTAGAGCCTGCTCGTGATCCTGCTCCGATAATCGGCGTGCTGCATGCCTCCGACAAACTGCTTCCATCGTCTGCGATATCATGAGAAAACTTGGTTACTCAGACTGACTCAGATTTCAAATGTCCAATTGAGAGATAACGAGAATGAATATTATTCAGAAAGTAGAATTTTCACAATAGCTTAAAACTAAAACAGCCATTTCGACAGTGGTTTTAAAAGTCTGAATTGCTAAATATTATAAAATATAACGTTATTTTTTATATTTCAAGAGAGTTTTTTTAATTTTTACTGTTGTTTTTATTATACTTTATCATAAATATAATAATACAGTAATTAATTTGTGATAATAATTTTAGTAACAATTTTGTATTTGCGCGCAGAAATTTTTATATTTCATATAAATTAAATTCTTTTTTATAATTTTAACTTTAGTTTAATTGTATTCAAAAAATTTTTCAAATTTTTTTATCACGATCTAATCTCTTCAAGTCCAATTGTAAGAATTGTTAAAATCACTTTATGACTAACTTAATATTAATTCAGGAGTGGATATTTCTTGCTGCCCATTATATTGCTTCGAGCACTTGGCAAAGATACTCGCATATCCTAGCTCTGAATCGCTGTGTGACGCTTTCTTCTCATCGTTAATCGACGGTGACTTTTTCTCCTTTTTCGGAAGAACTGGTAGATTCTCGATTACGCGCTTCATTCCGCCGGTCAGAATTCCGGACGAGGATCTGTTTTTCGAGTCCAAGACATTGAGAGAAGAATCATCTTTATGATTTGCCAATAAAGCTTCTTCCTTGTTGATACTGGATGTTGGAAACTCATTATCTTTCGATATTCCATAGTCATGCTTTGTTAAAGGAATTTTTTCTATTGTATGTTCTTCATCACTTTTTGATTTAACAAGATCAGTCAGTGGAATTTCCGATTCGATGATAAGATCATCAGGCTCTAGATTTTTCTTTCTATCCATCTCGTTTGTACCGTTCGATCTTGAATTCGAAACTTGTTTTTTGTTTTGCGTAACAAGAGCCGCAACAACACTCCAGAAACAAATTTGAGGCGAGACGCTGCATCATTTTACCAGTGGACCAAGAACTTTGGGTGGAAGATTCTTTGAAAGTCGAATAATGAGCACCCTTTGCCATCTTCCTGAGATTAATTCAATTTTTTTCACTCTGTAGATTTCTCTTGCTAGTTAATTATTCTCACGTTCCTTCTCTTGTTCTTCTAAGTCAGCTTGCACACGAGATTCAGTATTTCAGAGTTGATAAGAAGAGATAAAATGGTTTCACTAAATTAAACAAAGGTAGAACGATCGTCTCACTTTAATATTCAACGGTACTTTTCATTTTAAAATAATAAAAGAATAGTATATTATTTTCAAAGATTTAAAATTAAAAATAACAGCACATATTTAAATTGATATTTGCTGATGTTTTGTAATAAAACAAATAAGAGAACTTCGAGAGAGATGTAACATTGAACGAAGCATTCCCTATACTGACAGATCTGTCCATTTTATTATTTGTTATTCAGCTAAACGGAACAGGAGCAACGATAATACTGATTTTTGCTTCCTGCTTTCTGGCACTAATTACTTCTACATTCAAGGTCCAGTATCTGGTTTGATAACAAACGATAAATTTATAAAGAAGGAAGTCATAAAATCATATAGAGGGAAATATCTTTTACGAGAAGATAGAGATTAATTTAATAATACAATTTTTATAATTTTTTTATTAAGAATATAAATCTCTAACGTTTCTTCAATATTAAATTTTCTTAAATACCTAAAATCTTTTTTAATTTTTGATTGAAATTTCATTGTTAATAATGATTTCACAATTCTTATTTGTATCTCCTGCAATCAGATATATTTACTGATGTACTAAATATTCAAATCTTTATTATATTTGTAAAATGATATGCGAATTTTAATAATATTTGCGAAAAAGATAAGAAACAGACATCTGTAAACGTGCCATTTAAACGCCATGTTACGAAAGCCGCATCATTCATGATTTTCATTTGTCGAGATAATCATTGTTATGCGTCGTGCTGAGTAATGTTAAAGTAGTGAACAATTATTAAATGTTGGGTAACATCGTCCACCGATAACCGACATAATAGCCGACGCTTGGCGATGCATTTCTAATCGCGCCCGATAATATTCTCGTGGCGACACAGACGGAATCGGTTTGTAGCTTTTGTAAATAGGTTTAGGTGAATGTGTGCCAAGGTGAAAACGTATCGAGGTATCTCCGCGCTTCGCCTGAGAAAAATCACTTTCATGAGTCCGTACGCTGCGTTCTATCAACTGCCGTCACCGTCGGTTAAAGAAAGTTTGTTGCAGCAAATATGACAACTAAGAAAAATATATCTCTTTATATTTAACTACGTATCGCAGTATTACGCATTGCTATTACGTAACGTCACTCCTAATCCTACAATAAATTTTCTAATTTTATCTTCACGTTTCATTAATTTTCCTTGCCTTTTCTAATTAACTTTTTATTCTAGAAAAGTGGCCTTTTATACGTTTCGCGGTTTGTGAATTCAATTTGTCGCCGGTGCCGTCGTTAAAATTAAGATTGAGTATCGTAGACACATGCCCGCATGCTCGTGCTCCGTGTGTTGTTGCGATACCAAATGGGGAGGGCTAATTAAATCACTCGGCCCTATCAAGCGCGAGTAATTACACGTTTGTGTCTCGCGAGTAATTTCGCCACCTTCGGATTGTCTCTCCACAAATTTGATCTCGTTCCCTCCGGTTTCCCATCGCGCGCGGAAAATCGAGTAGCGCGCCCGTTACCCTCGGTTGAATTGTATATGCGTGCACGCACGTGAACGCCATATCCGGGACATAGTACTACGCACCGAGAATGTGGGCGAAAGTTCTGGCGTGCCTCGCCTGATGCGAGAACGCAGTTTCCAGCCTCAGCGGCCGATTAGACGAATTATTATCCTTTTATAACTCGCAAAAAAAAAACATGATACAAAACGGGATCTCAGAAGAAATTGTGTGATTAGCGAAAACAAAGTATCTATGTAATTAAATTTTCTCAGCTTTTCATATTTGCCTCGATCGTTCTCGCGTGGGGTAATTAAATTTCTATAACGATATTTCTGTCAAATGTTATTATACTTTAAAGCAAACGGTTTTAGTTGATCTTCTCTCTTGCACCTTTATTATGCGTTCGGCGTACAATCGTCGCTTCCGTTTTGCTTGCGTTTTGCTTGCGTTTCCTTCCTTTTTCTTTCCTTTCTTCTTTTCCTTTTTGCACTGGCTGATCCTATGACTCGCGTTTACCTTTCCTTTAGAAAACGCTATTGCGCGTATCCGCGTGTAATTAAATTACTCACTACCGGAGTTATTCGCTAGAACCGTGGAAGAAGAGAATGTACGCATGCGTCGGTATATATGTTTCACCGCAAAAGCAGTAGCCTGCACTCGCAATTATCGAATTACTCTATCGAAGCGTGGATATTGTCATGATAAACTACTAATACCAAGCAAATTATGTCAGCCTGTTTCTACGTAATATAGATAGTATCATAACGTTAGTCTTATTATACCAGAACATTATATTTTTCAGCGAAAATTGCCTACTTTGCCATCTTTTAATTGCCTACAAAGACTATAATTTATTTTTTTTACGTATTCTTTTTCCGTTTCATATCAATTCTTTGAAATAAAGAATACATTTAAATAGAATTGCTAATAAATATATATATATTACAAGATCTTCTCTATTTAAAATGTGTGGAGCAAGAATTAATATAACGAATTAATGCATGAACTGTAATATTTATGAAAAACTATTCATACTGTTTTTTTTGCAAAATTTTTTTTTAAACAACGCCGATTAAAACAATATATTCGCGTAATTCCATTAGTCGGTTAAAGTAGATCGTAGAAATCTAAAAAAGATGTCATGCGGTTAAAGACGTAACGTCCTGCTTCATGGTTGTCCGCGAAGCGAAGAACCGTTCTAGCAATCGTGCAAAAAGCTTGACACGCATTCCAAAACTCACAGCAACGATGGTTCAATGACATTCTTGACTTTCTTAACGCCAGCTTGATCCTTTCTCGTTCATTCTCTGAGAGAATTCTAACTTTTGGGAAAATATTTCTTTTACGACTGTAACTCTGTAACGCAAAAGGAAGCTTCTCAAGAAATACAAAAGTTTAAGATGGACCTCTCAAAAAATGCAAAAATTAAAAGTTTTTAACATATGACGATATTTATTAAGTCATTAAAGTTTATTTGACGGTAACATAATTTAATTCTTAGGCACCTTATACATAGTTGCTGTTAATTAAAGAGCTTCGTCAGGCGAAGAGAAATAAGATAACTTGAATATTCTGCATTGCTCGCGGCATAAAACGGTAATTAAGAGTCGCATTAATCTTTATTCGTGCGAAAAATCGGTCTGGTTTGAAGCGGTAACGATGATCGCCGATGAATACAGCATAAAGTATTGCAGTGCCTGCGATGTTAAACGTAAATCTGTCATCGACCGGTCTCTAACAAGCAAAAAGAATAAACGAGTACGTGGCGAACGAATGCGGAATTCTACGGCTCGGAAATCGCAGACGTGCGATGCATACAATCCAGCGAATTGTAAAATGTTGTATGATAGTATCGCAAGACGATATTAATGTGAATATATATAAGGTACTTCAAGAGAGAATTTCTAGAATTTTCTTAGAAAATATTAAGATTAAATATTTTATTAAATTATTTCATTTTAGGTAATCAAACAAAGCTAAAGGGCCAAATATAATTAGAAAAATAAGATCTTTCTCCTTTAATTTACATTTATTTTTGTTCACATCATTTTCCAAAAACAAGTTAAGACAAGATATGAATTAAACTGTCTTTCTTCATCAATCAATTTAATTAGAATGCACTTTTTATTGAATTAAGGCTCGACTCTGAATCGAGGTTTGTTCGAGTAAGCGTTGAATCGATTGGATTACCGGATGTGTATAATACTGTATATTAAAGGGAAACATCGAAGTAAGTAGATGAACGTTAAATTATATTGACGTTTAATTATATATAAAATTTTTATCCAATATTTAGATTAGAATTTTTAAATTTGAATATATCGATGTTGAATTCGATTTTAAATAATGAATTTCATTCGTAGATAGAGTTTCACACATGAGGGAACGATCGCTCAGATGAAATTTTGTGTATGATTTGAAGATTTTATCCCCAAGCTATGAGTTGAAGGGTGGTTTCGTCCGTTATCGATCCACGAGAGACGCAGCTGAAAACGGGAGTGGCAAGGACCTTAAATTTCTATTCGAACAGCAAAAACTGAACTTCATCGAATTAAAATTAATTTAATATTGTAGATAATTACTGAGTTTAAAATAATAATTAATAAAAAAATTGTCTTAAAACAAATATTATTTATATATTGTACTAAATGCAAAAATTATTAATGTTTCAATAAGTAATACAGAACTCTTTCCTTTATCATAATTACAATTATATAAAAAATATACTTATTTTATCTTTAAATATGTTTATTCAGATTAAAAGGCTATAGTTAAAAGAACATTTCAAAAAAGCACATTCTAAAATTTCTGTTATATAAAAAAATGTGGCTTTTTTAGTAAAAAATGTTAAAACAAGAAATTGTTTTCAATATCGCGGTATTTAA